AAATATATAGCTTATCTATATCTCTATATAGATATATATCTAGATACATAAGATATCTCTCTTCATGTCATTTTACTTAACGAGGATGTAAGTATCATACATTGCACTTGTTCAATGGTCCTTGTTTTTTCTAACAGTGCTGGAGATTGAACCCAGGGCCCTGTGTATATCAGGCAACACGCTACCATTGAGCTATACTCCCAGCCCTTTTGATCACTATTCAAGTCATTGTTACAAAAATATTGTTCACTGTCAAGTTAAGGGGTATGCATAATTAAATTTGGTTGCATCTTTTTAATTTTTTCTTTGAGGGTTTTTAAAAACACAATTATCAATGATTTAAAATCCCAAATTGGAATGTGGGCCAGGGAAGTTAATACAAAATCTGTAGTGTTCTGATTTTCCTCTAAATTTTTAACATGGCCTGCATAGATAGGTTAACCATACGTTTACTTAATTAAATAACCTATATTTAAAGCTTTAAAACTTTTCTTTCATATAGCTACTTAGAAGGTAATTTTAGTAGAGAAAATGATATATTAACCACATTAATCTTAGCCAACTGAGGAGTTTGTCTGTCCAGCATTGATATTGATCAAGCCCATTACACCAACTCAACATAAATAAAAATATACTATGTAAAATACACTAACTTTAAAGCTACATATTACAAATATGTAAAACATGTATGTATTACATGATTATATGATTTTATATATATTATATGACTTTATAATTTCTTAGATATATGGAACCTTCAAAATTTAAATTTGCTAAGTTGCCAATTAGTTCTCATGGCTAAAGGAGTCAGTGGCAAGATTTCTAATAGTTCCTCTGTAAGAGAATTAGATTGAAACTTCTGCTTCCTTGAGCATTCTTATAAAAGAGTTTGATTCCTGAACCAAGCATAAAATGTCAAGTGAACTTCTCATCATGATCTTAGTGTAGTTCTTTGCCTTTTTTGTGGGGGTGTAAGTGAAAATATTTCCCTTAAAACTGAAGGATTTATTTTTTGTTTCTTATAAAATCTTGCTCTCTTAAATAATATTAATATACATATATACATGTATATAAATATATGTTATTATTTGCAATATTTTAAAGTTATTTACACGTCACTGTATCCATTGATCCTTGAAGCAGCGAGTACAAATTAAGTCTTGTTTGAGATAAACACAGGGTTGACAGGCCCTTAAAACTGTCAGCAACAACTGATTGTTTCTGCTTTTCCCACCATTAGAGGACTATAGTAGACTCCTCAGGAATGGAGGGAAGGGGTCCTTTTCTGGTTGTATGCTCTCCAAAGTCTTAGGAGGTAGAAGGAATTCCCAGTGCCGTCAGTCAACCTATATTTGCTTTCCGATTGTGGCTTTACAGGCTTTTATTTTGTTCTATTTTGGTCAGTCAGGAACTTGAATTTGAATGTCTTTATATATGAAAATACTTTCTAGTTTAACACAGGCCCTACCATTTCTTGGTTTATCTGTCAGGTTCTTGAAAACATTTCTGTTTACCCTGGTTTCAGACAAATTTACTTACAACCTGGTTCCCCCCAAAGCCCAGGTTCTGATTCTGAATACACAACAATCCCTCTGACTCCCGCTTTTACTATGCAGACCTTTGTCTCTTTCTTAGTAGATTCAGAGGATGGTTCTGAGGGTTTGCTTCTGCAATACCACAAGCTAAGTCTCACTTTTAGAGAAGGTCTTTCTAGTAGTTCCTGCCCCTCCATGTTTATCCCTGTTTTGCCACTTTTTGATTTTCCCTCTAACCTGAGTCCATCCTGGTTTAATTTTCTTGATTTTTGATGTTCACATTCCAATGAAGGAGTCAAAATTATATATGAGGGACCGGTAATTTCAATGAGAAAAGACGAAGAAGTATGTTATGCCAGGAGACCAAGGTTTGATTTCATCAGTTTCATGTAAAATTGTCATCAGTGAACAAATGATTTTGTCTCTGTGACATGCCAACTAGGCTGATTCAGGTAAATGGCAGCATGGGAATTCAGAAAAATTACATTTTTAATAATATAAGAATGCTTTAATTAAATGTAACTTCTATGCTATACTTTGGTTTAAAACCACTGCAATATGACTTTTTATTCCTTTTCTAAAATAACAAAGAATCTCAATAAGTATATAATTTTAAGTGCATTATCCATAACTGCAGAATTTTCTGATACACATATCTAGATGGAGGCCCAAGTGGTTGGAGAAACATAGCAGAAAAAGAAAGTGACGAACATTGATGACTTGAGTGATGTGTGGAACTGCTCTGTGTGCTGGACAACACTACAAAACAAGCAGTGCACTGACTCATTATTCCTGGGCTTGGGAATAGAAATTTTTATTTTATGTATTATCCAATTTTTATAAGTATTTCTTAAGTAATTATATAAGTTCTTTTATCTTTGACAAAAATAAAAATTAGGGGTAAATTAGGAAGTAAATAAATTTGAAATGTTGCTCTATGTAAGACAATGTATATAATTTAAAATTTTTTAAATCATAGTATTCTCAGACTCCTAATTCATCACCACTTCATTCCTCACCATGTACATACTGTATGAGCACCTCAACTATTTTATTGTCCATACTTTTTGCTTACTGATAAAGTAGAATTAATTCACCTGGTGGTATTAATCCATCCTCTCTTTCAATCATCAATTTGTGCAAAGCCTCATATCCATCAACAAAATGGTTTTTGTTTCCACAGATATTCAATCAGTGTAGTGTAGACCGGCTTCAAAGCTCAAACGCACACAAGGGCAAATTTCCTTTTAACAGATGTATATTCAAACATTAAAAAGCAAAACAAATTGCTCCTGGCAAGTTCAGACTCCCTCTAGGCAAGGACAGCAGAAAAATGGCAGGGAGCAGCAGTAAGTCATTCATGACTAAACCTCAGGAACTAACTGAATTGTACTGAATTGAACCAAGCAACAAATTAGAAATATGGAGGGAATACTGGCCCCACCATTTTTATTCCTTGTAACTCCAGGCACCATAGAGAGAGAAATGACTAAATCTCTGTTTTAATAGCTGCTGTCAGGAGTTTTGCTCTGTAGGGCCTATTTCAGCAGTTCCTAGTGGTAATATATGGCATTTCCCTGATTAACAGCCATTTTATAACCTGTGTAATTGGCCACAAATCAGGGGAATGTCATAATGTAGCAAGAAAACATTCCCATCTCCGTCATAGCCTTGGCTTGGTTTTCTGGAGGAATTATTACTTGAGTAGTTTGTGGGTTTTCATTACTTTAAATAATGTACTACCTGAAGTACAAAAAACGACACTTAGACTAATGAACATTTCTGTCTCCAAACCCTTTCTGCCACCCTGTCCTTAGATTTCTTTTTCAAACACTAAAAATGGAATTCTTTCTTCATTTTTATAAAATCACAATGTTTGTGGAGAAATCAAGGCAGGGGCAGGACAGGGAGAAGGGTCAGGTGTGTAAGGCAACAAACTCTGTTATGAAATTTAAAACAACACCCCAAAACTCAGTAGGTAAGACTGAAATATTTTAATATAATATATAAAAAATCAGAATTAATGCAGAAAGATCCATAATGAACCAAATATTAAAATCTTAAATAAAGACAGATTCTGACTCTGGACTTGTATAACTTATCTCACTCACCTGCCCGCATCCTGGGCAAGGGTACAAGATAAGAAGAAGTGAACACAAAGTAATGGTCTGACATCTTTTGTCTAACTAGAAAACAGACTTTGGTTGTTTATAATCACTCTTGTAATAACAGCTATCATCTGCACAAAATTATGTAAATATGGAGCTTTATTTTATCTGTGATACACAGTCCAAAGCATTTTACTATGAAAGTGTCATCTCTAAGAGAGATAGATGTTGTAATTCTGTATCAGCTACTATAGGAGACCAAGTTTTATTGGTTGAAATCATGCCAAATAGAAATTAAACTTTTTCTCTTTCTAGGATAAGTAAAGATCAACATCAGTCCTTTAGTGAAAATATGGAATTATTTCTCAATTTGAACTCTTCAGTGAGATATATACAAGAAATTCAAAGTTTAAAAAACCCTATACCTTTTCTGAAGAAGGTGGAATAAGGTTCATAACTGCAGTAGTTTGACAAGTCTATGAGGAAAAGTATGGTCATAGAGAGGCACCTAAATGGAAGGGTGCTAGGTTTTCTGGAGAAGATATCTGAGCTATATTGTAAAGATTTGAGAGAAAGTGGTTAGATAAAGAGGGATGGTGTTGAGGCATTCCAAGGAGAAGGAATAACATTGTGTAAGCATGAAGTCTCAAAATGCTAGCATGTTTTAGAGGGGCTTTGAATCTTTAGGAAGGCTTGGAAGTTGGATGAAAGCCAGAAAATTGTAAGGGATGAGACTGGAGAGATAAATAAAAGGCCATTCAGATGAGAAACAGGTGAAAATTGAATGAAATAGTAAGTATACCAACTTATATAGACAATAGCCATGTGAAATAACATATTCTTAACACAAAATATAAAATATATGGGTAGACATTTTTTTTCATTTTTGATTTCTGTATTAAAAATAAAATACATGAAAATATATTGAAAAGATTTGAAAAATGTTCAGATTCCACTAATAACACTGGAAGTTTCACAGATATTTACATCACGTCTGCCAACCTATTCCTTTGTGACTTTCTTTTCTGAAGCCATAACAAAGTAGGGTTGACACCCTTAAAAATTCATCATGCTAAAAGTTACTGTACTTGAGATATAGTTGAAGCAATTCAATAGAAATTAGGGTTGAAGCAATTCTATATAAGTTAGGTTTAAAAACTATGACGCATTATTCAGTGAAAAATAAGATGTAAAGACTATAAAATGTAAAACTGGGGAGAAAGTTTACTTGCTTAATATCCAGGTTGTAAAATGCTCAATAAATCTAAAAACTTTCATTCTTCAATATGGTCATAGAAGATCCTATCAATGATAATGCAATTAACCTGAATATAACAAAAACATTGGCCACACTAACCTTTTACATCATTTGCTAATTTCTTGGCTTCATTAAGAATCCTGAAGCTTTTTTGAAGAGAGCCTTTGGCATCTTCCTTCAATGAACCTTGAGGACCTGATGCCTGTGGACAGAAAAAGAGGTTTAAAATATCTAATAATGTAGCATAATGAAGTCAAGATGTCCCGAAGACAGTTAGTATACAGAGTTTACTTACTGGAATAAAGACTGATAATTGTGACTTTTTAACACATGTGGGTGACTAGAGACTACTTGTTGGGAGATTAGAAGGTCTAGAGAGAAACCCTTAGAACAAAAATGTTCAAGTGGCAGGTATAGAAGTGGGGCTGGTATTCCAGAGGCAATAAGGAGAAACTGAGAGAATGTGATATTATTTTCCCCAACATATCATGGCTGACAGAGTTACAAGAACATAAATGATCAATAGTATTAAGTGCTGCAGAAGCCAAGCAAATTGAGAACTAAAAACATTCATTCTAGATGTGGGGTGAGTGGGGAGCATTACTTTTATTCCCTGGGTGTTGAATTTAAAAGGAATACCGGTTCCTTTTTAAACAAATTTCAAAGCACCATGGCATCATACAGCCTTCTAAATGACAATCTCAGAATCACAATCATCCAGCAAAGATGTATTTGTTGAGGGTTAGATTGATCGAAGTGACACAAAGATAATAGAACAGGAAAAGGATCATTTCACTTGACTGTCTAGTTATCCATTTAATAGTGTTTGCTCCTCTGTAGTCATTACATAATACATTTATACCAACAGATAAATCAAATAAGGTCCTATGTGTATATTTTAAACTGGAAAAGTATGTCAGGGTACAACAAGGGCTGAAGAATACTAAATGCTTACTCTCAAAGTTATAATTCTGAACTTAGGTCACCCCAGTCATAATGTTCTTCAAAGACATCTGTAGTGCCTTAGTAACATTTTTTATCAGTCATGTTACTTGAGAATTAAAATAGGAAAAAATTACAGAGCTTGGTTTTGCTGTGGTCAAATTTATTTTAGTATATCATTCCAACAGAATTCATTTAAATATTGCTCATAAGACAGACTTTATATCCACAAAAGGGCATATGAGAAACATCTGCATAAATAAAAAGAGACATTGTACAAAGCACTAGAAAAATACAACCTTGGAAAATTATTCTATGGGAAATTGAGAGTATCTCACATTGTGTTCATGGGAATTCTTAGTTTCACATTTTATCTTGGGAATTAGGTGTAGTAACATCAAAAACTGTCATTATCTTGGGGAAAAAAATAAGTGTAAAAGTTAATGGCACAAATTCAATGTACTTTACTCAAAAAAGGAAGCCTCAGATTACCCACTCATGTTCTATATTTGCTCCAATTTACACATCATTTTTACTCTGTGGGTTATAAGTTTTCTGAATCAAAACAGATCAAAGATAGGAAATTACAAAGGAGTGAAGATTCTCTAAATAGGCACAGTAAAAACAGCAGAAGTGACAGCTGACAATCTGTTTGACGATGAAGGAAAAGAAAAAACTCAAAAGTAGAGAGGAAAATTTTCAATGCTTAGGCATCCAAATCGACTTGGAAAGGGGTCAAGTGTATATGGTAAGGTAGTTCTCAGTGGATGACATTATTATTGTAATAACAGAACTAATGTTGACAATGTTCCTGAATAATCAAGAATATGGGTCATTCATAATGTTAGAGGAAACTTTAAAAAAAAAGAGAGAGAGAAAACCCAGCTTTTCTAACATTCTTGGAGTGTGAATGCCTTTTTATAAGAACATCATCTGGCAAGCATTTAAAAACCATAATTTTAAAGCTAATCTTGGATGTGCAAAATGAGGCATGGCATTAACTGAGGGAAACAGAGTTGATTTGCTGTGAAAAAGAAAATTAAAGGCAACAGATGAGAGAGAGAGAGAGAGAGAGAGAGAGAGACACCCCAATCACCACTGAGTGAACTGTGATAAGTTGTTGATGGACTATAATCAGTCGTATCAGTCGTAACCAATATGCATTTTTCTATTTTTCAAAACTTTTCAGCAGTTGATTAAGTTAAAACTGTATAGATAAATCACACATACTTAGAATTTACAATTTTATTTTTGAAATGTCTATACCCATGAAACCATTACTGTAATCAAAGTAGAGATCACAATATCATTTCTTTTAATCCTTTCCTTCTTATCCCTTCTCCTCTTCCCCACCATGTTCCTAG